CGCGACGGATTTACAGCTGCGCTTGTGGCGCGGGTGTTTGGTATCTCGACAAATATCTGTAGTTCCGTGCTCAGCCGTCATCGGGAAGAGCTTCCGGTCTTTTGTTCCAAAATTGAGACATTGTTTTTCAAGTCAAAGTCCATTCAGCTACCTAGCCCTGTCTCGCCTGCATTTAATTTCCAAACAGTCCAGATTCCCTCATCAAACATTATTCTGACTTGATCGACTTGATCGACTTGATCGACTTCATCCCGTTGATGTGCTACCATGCTTTTGGATGTATCCAAATATTTCCTTCCAGCTACCTTTTCTCTCGTACCCGCGATCAACTTCCAGGCTGGTAAATGAGTTACATGGGTATCCCAGCCACGGGTATTTGGGATAACGAAGAAACCGTTAGTGTCTCTAGACCAACTGTGCCTCCTACTTTGTGTCTGTGGATGTCCAAAGCTCAAAGCGCATTGGGCAAGGCAACGCAACCCCTACTTTACACACATTTCGAAGAGACATGGATGACGATGACATGAGAAGGGATCTTCCTTTACAAATCAGCAGCAGAACTCTATGATCAATTGGATTCTAGTACCGTTGCCTTTGATGTGAGATTCTTATGAGGCAAGTCGCTTTCAAAACTGTCTTACTACGATTACGGTGATCAATTCATATCATGGGTTGGCGTCAAGCTTGTGGAACTTGGCGGCTCTTGAGGGCTTCATGGGTCCAATACCATTTGTTTCTCTCATGTTGTTTTCACTAACGACGGCCCCATGTTCAAACGGCCATAGAACAATGCGGGAGACGTGGAGGGAAATATGAGGAGGGGCCTATCCATGTCGCTTGGCTATGTCACTTGGCCATTTTGTTTAGCTCAATTTCAGCGTCAAATCTAGTCCGAGCGCGTAACAAGGAGGCCGCCGTAGTCGGGAAGACCAGGTGCTGGGGAAGAATCGCCTACCTGACTCGATGCACCCCAGCTTTTAGGTTGCAGCCGCTCAGATCATATTTCAGGAGCATGGGTGGCCCAGCTATCCCACGCCTGCAGCCTTACGGGAAACCTGCAGTAGATCACGGCAAGCATTGAGGAGCCATGTCCTTGCGAGAAGCGTCTGTGCAGTCCGACTTCGTGTCCGTTGGTCTAGTGGTATACTATAGGGGCTTGTGACTTAATGTAATGTCTGTAGAGGCGAGATTGAGGCACATCTTTCCCAGAGATTATCTTGCGAGATGACACATGGAGATCATGATAACGAAAATAACAGTGAAAAAGTGAAAAGATATGGCTGTGTCGGTGGCGTCTGTCATAATGTCAGTTATAGAAACCCTCGTTACAACCAAACATGAGCTATCTACTAGTAGCCTAGCAAAAGCCCAACAAATAGAAAAAGTTTCCGCTTTTCAGCAAAGGAAGTCTCGACTGATCAAGAATATCGTAATATCCAATCCAAGTAATTAATATCCCGACGAGAATGATATTGAAATCACTCAAATTGCTCATTAACAGTTGTGCAGGCAAGGAACAACTGTTTTGGGATGGGAAGGATGAAGAAGGAAAGCTGCTGAGGTATTTGTTTGTATTTATCGACCTACAGATTCTATGACTTTGCAATGACATGTAGGTACTTTCTGGCTACAGGCCGAAGACTGCTGTTGTAGGAAGGAGTGGAAAACATAGGCTAGTGAACGGAGGCTAATTTGCAGAATAGAATATTTTCACCAACTGAATTTCGACAGTAGTTCTGAGTAAAAGATCCTTCCCATCATCAATAAAACGAAAGTATGAGTGGTTAATGATAGTACTCGATAGCAACGGTCTTCAGCAGATACTTGAATAATGGTATGAACTTTGTCTATCAGAGAGAGACTATTTCAAAATCATTGCTCAATATCGGTATCGAGAGGACAAAGGATGAAAACCTGTAAGAGGTACCTCTACGACCGTGTGGTCTAATACTCTCCTAGTTACGAGTATTCGTCGAGATAGCGATCAGGAGGAGTGGCGTTGGCAAGCTTTAAGTTGAACATCTTACCTGTAGAGATTTAACGACTGCAAAACTTACCAAAACTAGTCGTTAAAACCCTTTAGATTTACTGAAGAAAGGGTGAAGATATCTGAAGTTTGTTTAAGAAATACCATCATTCTTCAATATCTCTAATTTTTGGATGACCTTTTGAATTCAAACTTATTTCGCGACCCTCCACAAATATCTCACCAGTCACCGTAGCCCTCGAAATCCAAAATCATTATTCGAAATTAAAATACACGACTTCATCCATCCTAACGCTGTTGTTGTCCACTGTGGAGGTACCGTCGAAATAATAGCATTATTATCGTGTAAACCCCGTCCAAGACCATCGGCGACTAGACCTCTTACCAATCTCTACCGAACATCAGATCAGCTAGAGCACTCAATTATGGCCGATTTATTGATATATCAGCCTTGTGGACTACCACTTATATTCTGCCCCCGTAGTTAGGTTTACGACAACGAGAGGGCAGGGCCGGGGAGATAAACTGCCTACAAAGGTTTTATGAAGAAGATTATAACAATAGTATTAAGAAGATGCTACAATAAAGGAAGAAAAGGGATTATTAACTGAGGAGACGTCGTGGAGCAACTGGATGAATTTTCTGATGAATAGAACTCTACCTCGATAAGTGGGCAGATCCTGGGATGAGTCGTGCCTGGGCCTGATCAGAAAGCACAAGTTAGAGATTTTGAGAATGTCAGGGACTTGAGCGCATGTGGTCGAGTCTTAGGAGGACATAGCGCTTCGGCGTGTTAAGGTCGGGTTCTCTAGAAAGTTGGACTTGACATATTCAACAAATAGATGAAGTCCGAGGTAGTGTGGTCATTCAGTTAGGACGAGTTCTATTTTATTTAAATAGTAATTAATCTGATCTAGACTAGTCTCACTTCTACTCCAGTTCCAATGGGATTGCGGAGAATACAATCTGTGTACTATCAAAATAAACCAAACCAAGCAACTCAAGACAAAAACTTATTGCGTCAAAGTTCCCAGCGCAATCCCGACATGCAGTATTGACGCTCAACTAAGATCTCCTCTGTATAATTTGTTGAGATAGGTACTAGCATGGCTCTCCTTCAAGTTCGAGAAAGGGTGTGTGTGCGTTATTTATCGTGCTGCTTAAATCGCTGACTATCTAGTACTGGAGCCTAATGTGCTACATAGTCATGGGCTCAAGCAGCACAGTAAAAAAACAACGACATTTGGTTCCTCTCAGACCCAGGCCGCACCTTGTACAGTGCTACTATCCTCTGTATTTATTCAAAAGATCATTGATACACTGCCCCCAATTAATAGCTATCCAGCCCAATATTTGCGCATGAAATGCAGACAATATTTCTGCGGAACCTTCTACTCAAAAAGTGTGAAAATGGTTGCAATGGCTGGTGTAGAGATAAAAAAAACTAGTCCATAACTGCACACACCATTGGGGAACAATCGTGCACGAACTTCGTCAATCAATTTGAGTCTCTCATAATTGTCCCCTTATTGCTACAAACTAATATCAGCCTGCTCATTAGAATGATGCTACCATTGAGGTTACTCTAGCCATGGTAGACAATAACACGTGGAGGAACAAGGGCAGGAACTTCTGTATGTAGAAAGGGCCTCTTTACTCTTAGAACTAGATCCACTTCAACATCTTCGATTCACAATCATCCAATCATCCAGCTCTCTTCAGGTTGTCCATTGAATTCTCCCATGCTTATCAGTAATTTACTCACAAGGTGACGTTCTCGTGCTCATCGCTCTCAGCCTTACCCTAACGGAAACAGCGCGTGCGGGAAAAAGTCTCAAAATACCTGCAGCCCCAGCGCGACGAGGCCTAGACATCGGAGCCATGCGAGATGCACGCTTCAAACATTATCTTCCTTGTAACATTAGAGACCAAATTGTTCCGATCTAACATCGCTGAATTGGATGCTGGGTTCGCTCTGAGGTTTGTAGGGGAGACCACTGGTTGATGTTGAATTTTGTCCCTCTTAGGCGAGAGATGATAGTGTAAATTATCACGTTATTCCTTCCCCCATCACACGGTAACCTTTTTAATACTTTTGATGATGAGGGTTTAATATCTGTATCATTCAATCAAATAATCATTCCACCCTTGTCTCCTTTGCCTTCTATCATTCTCTTTTCCTTGATTAGTTTATCATGTGGCGACAAACACACAACTTCGTCTTAACCCTGAGATCCCGACTGATTATTGTAGCCAATCGTAGCTAATTGGGCGATATACCGGTCTCATGCAACGAGTCAGCGAGATGTGGTGGATGCGCTGGGGAAAACAGGTCAAGAGACTCCACGAAACAAAAAAAACATCGACAGCAAGCGAGGCATGGCCGGGGCCTGTTAGTTGACAATCTGGAATAGACTCATGGCTCGACTGCGGTTTGTGGTTGGAGTTAGATCCATAAATATTTCTTCTGAAAACTCAAGGCGTGAGATGTTAGAGAGCTTCCATGGGCTGGGAATAGAGCGAGGAAAATCATATCACACACTGTCTAAAGACATCTACCCCTACGCCTACCTAAGTTATAGCTGCGAAAGAGACTGGTGATACGAGGGCCTTTCCCGTGACAGTAACATCGCTGTAACATGTTTGATGTTGTTCTAATGGTCGGCGAGGGGACTAATCCGAGATTTTCTGGATGGAGTTTCATATCCATTTGGACTTTGCTGAATCATGTTCATCGACCTGTGTCGCCAGAGAAAGAGAGATAGGGCAGAAGAATTGTATTTATACTCCCAAGTATCTGGTCAAATCAACTCATCATTACTCAACAGTTCATCTTCTTATAATCTTCGGTGCATTTTCATTAATCTATCATTCCAGTCTCAATAATTTTCGAATTTTCGAATTTTCGAATTATCTAATAACCTTTTCATCTTTACATCTTTCCGTCTTTCCTAATCTTTAATTCTCTTTTTAATTCTTACCAATATTTGGCCGGTCCAACCACAACTCGACAATGATGCTCAGCGGATTCCTCGTTTTATTTTCTCTAACTAACCTTGCTCTATCCCTTCCAACGCAAGGCATAAAGCCAGTGGCCCGAACCGTCTCCCAGGCTGCCGAGAACATGGCAAGTGATGCCAACGCAGTATCTGACGCTCTCAACAAACTACCAACTCTATCCACGCGAGAAGATATCCAATCCGTTTCACAGGTAGCCATCGACGCCGAATCTGACGAGGATACTCATCGCACCATTTTGGCGACGGCTGCCAGCTGCAATGGCAGAGAATCCAATGAAAAGCTTCTTACCTACGGTCCGACAGTCCTACGAGAACTAAAGGCAATGAACTCGGCTGGAACGCCCGAGGCCGTTAAACAAAGCATACCTGTGATTCAAAATGTCAGGTGCGTAGTAACGAAATCGTATTGCCAGTTTTCCCCCATATGCTAATGTCTGCTGTTAATCTTTAGAAACCCAAATGTTCTTCCAAGTATTACTCAATTGTCCAACGCCGCCCTGGAAAACTCAGGTCTCCCCCCGACTCAAAAAGATTTCCCGCCTACCGGAGTTGCCGCTTAATGGCAGTGAGTTTGATCTTTGCCGGGCTGTTTAGGGGTCCAAGCACAGTTGCGTGAGCACGAGAATATCCCGGGGAGAGGTAGAACAAGCTTGGCTTTATGATTTGGTCGATATTGGGAGCCTTCAGTATAACAATAAGAAGTTGATGTCTGGGATAAGTTGAGTATGAGTTTCGACAAGAAAATATAGTTCAGGCTTATTTCATAAATACCATTAAATTCATATATTTCCAATGTTGGTTATGGTGAAATTCTACTCCCGTAAAAACTCCCAGAATGAAAAACTGGGTTTAAAGCGCTGTGGTTTATATTACGGCACGGTCTTTAGAGTTGAGACTGAGCTCTCTAGGTATTAGCTCCGACGGCTGTGTAGCTATCGTTGTAATTACACCTTGTACTAGGACAAAAAGATCTATAACCTTTCGCTAAGTGACTTCAATAGGTCTGAATTCTCCTTTAAGAGTCACGATGAGGTTAGAAATAAACAAGAACTTCTTCTGTTGCTAGTAAGCTAGCAAAAGAATGAGTAACACAATTTGAGTGCCCTCGCGAAGTATTACGGGTTGAATCCTCTGGCGACGCGCTGTCTGCGCCAGTACGGCATGTATGCAGTCTAGATACGGTTGCTAAGCAATACAAGTTGTGATGGTCGGCGCTCGTGGTCATATTTCTCTGTATACAATAAGAAATCGGTAGCCTTGTTCCTCTAGACTTTATTAATAAATCGATTTTATTCTGGACTCGCTCTGCTGTAACCAAAATCACTTGACCCGGCGATACGAAATTGGTAGATGCAAAGAATACATGGGTATCTTGAGATACATGCATGGTTGCCTCTCCTTCATTGTCCCTTACCCCAGGCGTCTTGCTTTGCGGTCAAGTTTAACGGCTATTTGACTCTCAACAACTTTCTGAATACTGCCGAGTGCGTGATGTTTTTCCAAACGCCCAATAATGAGTTTCCTCCCGTCCTTAGCCCCGAGCCTGACGATGGCCAACAAGACGAAGAATAACGATATTGCTCGCACAAAGAAAAAAGTGCAGGAATGCATGCATCAGAAGATCACGCAAATGAAAACAGGTGTGATGTGAGCAGAGCAGGTTTGGGCGTTGTGAATGTATTCGGGAGCATCAACATATCTCAGACGAGTCAAGTGCACAAAATATACACAGGAGATGTGCAGCGGACTGATCACGCTAGATATTTGCATAGGTGTTTGGTGAAGTGAAATATCTTCTTTATAAAGAGGGAAGAATTTAGAACATCACATTCGTAACTGGTTGCTGTCGCGCGCTGCACACGGATTCGGGTATAATTTATCCTTTAAGCGACTTTAAAATTTGGTTAAGCCGTGCCCTCGAAAACTTCTCAGTTACTGAACCGGATTAACTCTGGTTTTAACTAAATATGGCATTAGCCAGTCACAGATGTCTTACCCTTGTTCTATATAACTAATCCACGTACTGCCAACCACACCATTGGTCGTTGGATGGTGCAAGACACATCATATGGTTTGGTTTGGTTTGTTCATTAACGTGCTGGGTAAAGTGACTACCGTTGCACTCCTACTGGAGCTTAAGCACGGGTGGGGCCTGACTTGATCAGGTTAATAACCTTTAAGTACATCTACCTCGTCCCACCTGAATGACCGGACCACCTCAGACTTCACCCATGTGTTGAATCATGTCAATCCCAACCGTCCAGAGTACCCTCTTTTGACACGCCGAAGCGCAAATTCCTCCTCAGCCTCGACCACCACGCGCCAGAGCCCTTGACACCTTCGTCATCTGTAACTTTTCCCTTCGATTAATTCCCAGCTTTGGCTCATCTCATCCAGTGGTCGTTTTCTACATTGGAAGCCTCATCCAGTCGCCCACCAAGGCCTCCTCAGTTTATATTTCCTTTTGGTTCCTTCATATAGCATCCCTCTGTCCTTCAGCCGATATCGTCATCCCAGAAACTTTGTAGAATATCCACCCCTCTGGCCTTGCCCCGTCGCTACAATACCCCTAACCGTGGAGGTCGAAAACGCGACTGAGAGCTCAAGGCCGAGGCAATGGTGCCCCAACTTTTGTCGAACGCTCTGGTTGGTATGCCGGCGAAATTTCGTACGTATTTCTTCGGTGGCGATTCGTCGCAGGTCGAGTTGTCGGTGCCCTTGGCCGAGGTGAAGACGCATCCAAGACCGGTATTTCGGCCGTACCTTCACGGTGACTGGCAGTTGCGGACATCCTCTTGCTTGTTTTTTGGCGATTTCGCTTTTGGAGGTATGGGATTGCTTCGGTAGGTGGTGAGATGATTGTCGAGAGGGCCGCGAGATGAGTTTGGCTGGGAATGATTTTCTGGAGAAAAAGAAAATAGGATCTTGAAGGTATCAGTTGCTGTGATACGAACATTAGATAGGTTTGAGCCTGTGTGCGGTTCGTATCTGGGGTGTAGATGGTTGATTTCGTTGAGTTGTGCAGTCGTGAAATCTCTGCAAGTCGGATTTTCGACCAAAAATGAGTCAACACCACTCCTCCCGATCGCCAACTCGACGAAAACTCTCAAATTCACCCTTTGCCGTGACTCAATCTCGGCACTTAGAGAATATTTCACTCTCAGGTTCGTAGAGGACACCACTGACAGGTGTTCAGCCTTCGGACACATCATATGGGACAGTCTCCCAAGTTGATTCTGGATAGCCTGTATATTTTTCCTACATGAGACGGGAGATCACTAGTTCGAATTAGGCAAAACATAACAACATTTCTCGCGGCGCTGGTATACATGGATGACGAAGGCATTATTGGACAATAGAAGGTTTTAGATTTCCCTTTAGTGGATACTCACGGAGTAGGGTCGACTGTTTGTGTAAGCGAACATACCATATAGTGGTATTTGCGAATGAAATCCAGAGTATGAGTGTCTCTAGCGTCAAAAGAGTCATCCAACATGTATACATAGCACCGATCATGTGTCATAGCTAGATAGCTAAATACACAATATGTTGACAGGAATTAAGCACTAGTGCTGGGGAATGGAAATAGAGTGTACTGAATTTTATATATTATTCCGTCTATTTTATCAATTAATTTTATTGTCCTGTCTGAGTCTATGACTATGTAGGACATGCAGGTCCTCTCTGCCTACAGGCCAAGGATACCTATACCAGTAGTATATCCCCTCCTATGCCTCCCATACAGCTCCCCTCAAACAGTACCATCCCTCACAAGTCCTCATTCGATCATACACTTAGAGGATCCCTTTGCCCTTCGTTATCTCCCCTCTCCAGCCAACGAAACGATGGCCATTTGCGGGTGTATGGCAGCCGGGAAATTTCGCAAAAACCACTGGGTGCGGGGCTCTTCTAATACCGACATTAGGACTAAATCCGAAGACATAGTGACCCTTCCGAAGCGTTCGAAGAGGCCGGCCAGCTGCGCGCTGCAGACTTGTGGATACCTCGGGAAATTCACACTCTGCCTTTCTAGCCTCCTTCCCGAAGGTCGTGCTGAAATGTCAGAAAAGTCTTGACAGAGCGTGATTGCTGTATAGTAGCTTAGCCTAACTTCTTTTGTGCCATCCAGGACGCTAGGGAGTGACGCTGACTCATCGACAAAAGAAGCCCTCCTGGCTAATTAGCCGAAATCTTGGTCTTGGCGCCCACAAAAAATCCAAAGTTGGAAACTCCTCGAAAATGTCAGTCCCAGACTGGTCTTCAGGGACCTCTTTCCCCTCTCGCTCCACATCTCAGCCGCCTATCCTTTCTCAAGATGTATAATCCCATTAGAGCATCAGTCCCCCATAAACCAAGACCCCAACTTTGTATATTATGACTTAATTTCCTCCTTGCGGGTATACGTAGCGTCGTAAATTTGTAGTGAATGATGGTCGGTTATGATTGAAGCAAGCTCCTGTTTGCAATTGGAGTGACTCTTTTATCGGTCGTTGAGGCGAGATGATGTGTGGTTGAAAAGAGGTTGAGGACTCAGAAGATAATGGTGAGTGCTGCATGATTGAGAAGTCGTCAATTGGAGACATGTATGTGTTTGCTTTCGACTTCGATTCGGATGCGATTCTTCTTGGCTATCCCAGATGTGCAGAGCATACTGATCGATTACATCGGCACCACTGGAAGGTGAAGAATTCGTCTTTGCCGGCTATTATTTTGTCTATCTCGGGTGTTTCGAACCTCTACGAATTAGATGAGACGCACAGGCCTCTCCAAATTAGTCAGCTATTATTGTCAGCCGAGCCTAATGGCCTGAGGTCGCAACACCCAACCTGAGTGGAACAAATACAATAAGTTATTTTTAAAAAAAGCTTCCATCCGACAGTAACACCTTTGGGTGCTGTTCGTAATAGGCTTTTACCGACCCAGCTCTGATCGTAATTCCTCGATAAATCGTCTCTTATCATTTTCATTAACTCTTATCTTGTCCTATCTGAAAAATTATCTCTTGTATCGTCTGTGATTCAAATATTTTTTAATCCAATCTAGCATGTATCCCTTCGCCCTGGCCGGAGCTACTCTGATACTGCTGCTCACCCTACCAAAATGAAATTAACACAAGTCGATTGTCTCTTGTCGACTTACGTGACTACTGTTTTTCGAGAATAACGGTTGCGCCTCGAATTTTGAAAATGTTAATTGGTTACTTTCAACATCTATAGTGTGTTAGGATTGACGGCCTTCCCGTGCTGGGGATATGCTTGTCCCGTTAGCACCGGAGCTAGAGCTAATGAGGACATCATGCTGAACCTTCTATATCGCCGATTCAAGCAGAGAACTAGGTCAGGATACCGTGGAAGAGTGCATGATCTACTCATTTGTCTCTAGTCGGGCCCAAAATGTTCTTACAGGATTGAATAAGGGTGTGCCTCGGCTTGGAAGCCAAAGATCGGCGCTTGTTTCGGCGGGAGAAGCGCGTCTCATAGAATTTAGGCGAGTGTGGAGGGGAAAAGCCGACCCTTAGAATCAAGCTCTCAGACACTTGAGGGTCAGTCTAAGCAGATTTTGTTGTTTGGATCAGAATTATTCCCTCAAAAAGTCAAGGCTTATGTGGAGATGAAGCGACTATGGCAGAGGCCTCGCTGTTCGAGGACACTTCGGGTGTGCCACAACTATTTCTTTTTAATTTTAAATCGAGCTGATCGGTCTTTGGTGGGCTTACGTATATCGAATGTAGTTTACGATTAGCTAGACGCCCGAAGACGCTGGTGCTGCAGTTCTAGCGTCAATCAGTCTAGAGCAAGGGCAGATAAAATCGGCAGAGAGCGAAGCATGGCCGGGGCCAATCAGTCTACAATCTTGTATAGACTCATGGCTCGACTATGGTTTGTTGTTGAAGTTAGAACCACAAATATTTCTTCTGAAAAAATAAAGGTGTGAGACGTTAGAGAGCTTCCTTGGGCTGGGTAGAGTATATGAAAAATCATTTCACACACTCTCTGGGGACGGCAAGCCCCACACCTACCTAAGCTATAGCTGCAAAAGAGGCTGCTGTTACGAGAACCTCTTTCGTGACTTTCAGATCGCTGTAACATGTTTGATGTTGTTCTCATGGTCGGCGAAGGGACTTCTTTTGATTTTTCTAGATTAGGTTTCATGTCCATCTCGATTGTTCTGAATCATGTTCATCGACCAGCGTCGCCATGGACAGAGAAAGAGAGGGAGAGAAAACTTGTATTTATACTCCCAAGTATCTGGTCAAATCAACTCATCATCACTCAACAGTTCATCTTCTTATAATCTCCGGTGCATTCTCATTGATCTATCATTCCAGTCTCAATAATTTTCGAATTTTCGAATTCTCGAATAATCTAATAACCTTTTCATCTTTACATCTTTCCGTCTTTCCTAATCTTTAATTCTCTTTTTAATTCTTACCAATATTTGGCCGGTCCAACCACAACTCGACAATGATGCTCAGCGGATTCCTCGTTTTATTTTCTCTAACTAACGTTGCTCTTTCATTCCCATTTCAAGCGAAGAAGCCAGCGGCCAAAACTGTCTCCCAGGCAGCCGTCAACCTAGCAAGTGATGCCAACACAGTAACTGACGCACTCAACAAACTACCAACTCTATCCAAGCGAGAAGATATCCAATCCATTTCACAGCTAGCTATCGACGCCGAATCTGACGAGGACACTCATCGCACCATTTTGGCGACGGCCGCTGGCTACAGCGGTAGAATTTCCAATGAAAAGCTTCTTACCTACGGACCAACAGTCCTACGAGGATTAAAGGCAATGAATTTGGCTGGAACGCCTGAGTCTGTTCAACTGAGCATACCTGTGATTCAAAATGTCAGGTGCGTAGTAACGAAATCGTATTGCCAGTTTTCCCCCATATGCTAATGTCTGCTGTTAATTTTCAGAAACCCAAATATTCTTCCAAGCATTACTCAATTATCCAACGCCGCCCTGGAAAACTCAGGTCTGCCCCCGACTCAAAAAGATTTCCCACCAACCGGGATAGTCGTTTAATGGCAATGAGTTTGATCTTTACTGGGCTGTTTAGAGGTCCAATCATGGTCGCGTGTGCACGAGTATATACCCCTGAGGGTGAACAAGGCGAGCTTTTTAATTTAGTCAGTATTGGGAGCCCTCATTATAATAATAATAAGTTGATGTCTGGGATAAGTTGAGAATAATAATCGACAAGGAAACGGAGTTTAAGCTTGTTTTATAAGTTAATTATTTTGATATTCTTCCAGTATTGGTCATAGTGAAATATAATTCTTCAACAACTCCTACAATGAAAAAATGGGTGAAAAGTGCTTTTTTATGTGTATCTCATGGACTCTAGAGTTGAGTCTATGCTGTCTAGATATTAGCTCCGACGGCCGTATAGCTGTAGTTGCAATAGGAGGCCTATTCTGCACACCAGACAGGGGTGTCCCCTATGAACCTCCAGATCCTACTGTAGAGTCTGCAAAGCTTAGGTTGAGCAGTACAGTCTTCACCTGGGTTAGCATTGTCACTTGCCTTAGCGGTCTTTACCATCTTCATCTCCGGGCAGAACACCCTACCACCATCATCATGAAGGTAAACATGTTGTGGTTGTGAGCTGTGCGGTAGTCGAACTATGGAATGATGAGGAGGGATGAGGAGTGGGTGATGTCATATTTTTTGAGTGAAAGTGAATAGACTTATACATTACAATGCTGTTAGTATATGTCAAGGGGAACTATACCACATACTCATGTAAACTAAGCTAGTCAGATCACATGACCTGGCTATTAGTACATAGACTTCATCTGTAGCATTAGAGCGCTCTAGTCAACATTTACAACGTAATTCCGTGGCCCACGTATCTTTCTTAAGAGTATATGAACAGAAAGTATAAGACTAAACCTGTGTCCTTTTATTGTGGGTACATCTATGAAATTAAATACATGCTCGCCTAACCACTACACTAGTGGTCTATGCTGTGGCCTTGAGCCACACGCGATGCCTTATTCTTGACTACCTCGTTGTCTCATATTATCAGGCGCAAGATCGAAGCATAGGAGAGAGCGGGGCATGCGAGGTACTGAGGAAGGATGGCTCTTTGGAATGCAGAGAGCTTTCCAGAGAAATGATAAAGTGGAAGGCGGGGGTCGTTCTAGATAGAGTAGCCGGAGGTGACGGTAGGTCACAGTGGGTGACAGAGGACGAGAGTGAGGTGCGATTAGAATGATGTGCCTATTCCTAAAGACAGAAAACAACGCGTGAATATTTCAGCCTAGGAAATGAAAACTCCTCAATTGTCATCGCTAAGCAATAAAGCCTAGTGGGGAGGGCAAGACTGAACACCTGTACGCGCTGTCCTCTACGAACCTGGGAGTGAAATATTCTCCCAGAGCCAAGTTCAGCCAAATTTCGCAATATCAAAGAAGTTGGCCACGAGGCAAAAATCCAAATTACTCCTCCACGTCGTTTTTTCGCTCTCAACCAGTTTGACTACTACCTAAGTCTCATCAAGCCTACAATTACGACCAAGTACATCCTCATCCCAGTGACCACACCACTCTTCGACCTTCTCTGGCCTCAGTTGACCACCAAATACACGTCCACGCCGATATTTGTACCCGGTGGTGTTGAAATTAAGGTATGAGTAGGTATGAGATGTTGAATATTCTAGGGATAGTGCAGAGGGTGGATAACGATTATCAGAGCTTGACGATATGATGAATAGCTTGGTTATATTATTCTACATATCACAGTAGTAGATAGGACTTATATACACAAATTTGGTACCCGCTATACAGTACATCACCGTCTATGCATGAAGTACTACAATCTTAATTCCATGCAATACTATCCCATATTACTCTATGCCAATGTATAGAGCTGCGCCTCAGTAGTCCATTGTAATGATAGCCATGTAGGGCTGCGCAGTACTCGCATAGATGTGTTGTATCCCTGGCACTTGGCAGAGATAAATTTAGAGTAAGTGCAGTAATCACATCACAACAGGTGGAGGAAGCAAAGCGTGGCGCACAAATCTGGGAGACATTTCTTTGGGATGGACGTGAGAGAGATCAGGACAAGTTCACAAGATGATGCAAAGGAAGGATATTACCACGAAGGGCGTGAAATTCCAAATTTTGGCAAGAGTTTTACGAATTAAGCTATGTGCGCGCTAAGACTTCGCTTGCCAGATTGCAGCTGATGTGGCTCCTAGTCTGATGTCTTCTAGCACAAGAGGGACGTGATAACATCCGCGACTGTACTGGTGAAGGTATTCAGACTTCTAGAGGGTAAATTGTTCTCTATTCAGTTTTACATTACAAATGATATGTGGTGTGTGCCCTAGCGTGGCGCGTGATATGTATGTAACCTCATGGAACCTCACTGACACTATAAAGACAAGCAAACGATGGAAGGTGTTGTGGTCCGCCTCCTGGTGGTGTTCTCTGGTATAGTTTGAGTAGCCTGGTCACCTACTACACCTGGGAAGGAGACATCTCAGATTACATTTCGCGCGGAGAAAAGTTGATGGATGACGGAGGTATGTCTGGATAACTCAGGGTTTTTGAGATGTTCCCCTGGGTGGGTATTCACGGATGAGGGTTGACTTGGGGTGAATAAAAAGCCGCCATAACTTCGCAGTGGTACTTGCAAATGAAATCCGAGGCATGAGTGCTCTAGTTATAATTGAGTTATCTATAATGTACTTTTCTTTGATATTATTATTTTGTAATTTTAAGGTCCTAAGCGATTGCTCCCGGTCCGCTATGGGTACAAGACCGGTGGAGCAGGAAGGGATCCATGTGTTCTTTACCGCAGCCCAACTCATTCCAACCGCGTGAAACCACTACCTAAATTGTAGCCGGTTTAAAACAAAACAAATTCTAACAGTCAAAAGTAATAAACAAAGGGAATTCCAATTTAACGGTCCAGTATCAGCGCTCCTCACCCTGATTCCTTCCCTTTCACGGTTTCCACCATAAATATTATTCTTCGTCCATGCTGAGAGCTGTGGACAAGTTCGCAGGTTGGCTTTTGAAGCAGCCAGTTTCCTGCGCAAACGTTGAAAATTCTTTGAGGCATTTGGGCCCTAGAAGAATTTTAAGAAATTGTTGGTATGGGGTAGTTCCCCTTAGTCGTCGGGTATGACGAGTGTAAAGTCTGCAATGCATGAAATGCGTTGTTGTAGTCTCCTCTCCGCACGAACACTTCATGTTCGCGTTTGGGTTGTTGAAACGTCTGTGGTACGCGACGAAATTTCCGTGACCGGTACGAGCCGCGATGAATTTAAACAGAAGTCGTCGTGGAAGTGATAGTTCCGGTGGCTTTTTTCAGCGCATCATCAAGTCTAGTTCGCGGTATCTGGATGGGCATGATTCGTCCCAGAATTGGTCTAGCAGCATCTGTCTCTTCTGATTCATAAGCCGGTAGAGGTATGCACTGCTGATGTTTTGCGGCTCCTCATCTCGGAGGGGGAGACTGCGGAGTTTGCTCTGGTCTGCAGCATCTGCTTCTTCGTTCCCTTGAATGCCCTTGTGTCCTGGAACCCATTTTACGATGATTCTTTCGGGAGCAGCCTGTGTCATTGTCCGAGATATTCGGGCTTCTTTAATGCTTGTCGATGTGTCTCCGGACAGCATAGCGGTTCTTGCATGCTGACTGTCGGTCAGCATGTAGATAGGTTGCGCCACTTTTCCTGGGATCCGAGATTCCAGCCCACTTATTTGCAATGCCACCTCTAGAGCCTTCCTTACTCCGACTATCTCAGCGTCCAGTACCTTCCCCCCATGTATGGTACCGGAATCCCTATCTATTTTCTTTCCGTCTCTTTTCAAGACAAAAGCCCACGCCGAGCGACCGTGTCCTTCTGATGCCCCACTGTCAGGATTGCCTTCTGTATAATCTATATATGTGGAGATAACCTGAATCTAGTGTTCTATGATTCTGGTCTGGCCTTTCGGCCGAGTGGTTATGCACCTATCTCATGCATAATGTAGGATGGCACCCTTTAGCCTGAGAATCATCTCTTTGACCAATATTCCCGCCCTGCTGTCTACTTGCTGCTCTGACACCCATCGGGGTAGGCGCAGATCACCGAGCTTGGCAGACTCTCTATCCAGCGTTTACAAATTCCCGTGTCTTTCTCTTTCGCGCTTACCTTACTGAGACAGGCCAGAGCCGGTAAAGGCTCGGCAGATTCAGCTTCTGGGAGTTGTCGATAAGCATGCTGGATTCGAGACATTTGAAACTCTGGTCGTGCTGATTGACGATCATGTTTCTTGTACTTTCTTGTCTCAATATTAGGGCAGACAGGAGCTCGTCTTCTCAGAGAATGTCCAGAGTCAAGGGATTTGAGCCTTGCTGATAGTCGAAGCCGATTCCCCTCGAGAATAATTCTTGCCGGCGGGATCCCTCCTTCTCGCTGTAGCACTACTGTGGGCGTAGTCCTCATTACTGGAAGTGCCGCCCGTAATCCTGTGCCGATGACTTTGTCAATCATGCTGCAGAGGCCAGTCGTTTGTGAAGTGCTGACTCCGCGTTGAGTGGGGCGCTTCAGGCTTGGCCACCACACCTCGGAGCCGTAAGTAGCGACAGGGATGATACATAGGTCAACCGCTCTTATCAGTGCATCTGGAGCAGCACCTCGGTAAGCAGAATTAAAACGACGCATATGATGAGCAGCTTTGGCAGCTTTGCCGCACCATTTTGTCACATGGTGTTTAAAATTGAGCCGAGGGTCCAGGTAAGCTCCTAGCCAGCGAACATTTTCCGATGGTTCAATAAAAGTACTATTGACGTGTATGCCTATTCCTATCTCCCGATGGCGCCCAGGGAATTGGATTGTTGGAAATATCGCGCAATGAAATGGGCGCAATATTCATGGAACGAAAGTAGAAGTGGACTAAAAGAGTGTCATGTTCGGACTAAAGCTAAAAGTGTGGGAGATGTGCGCTACAAGTACAAGTGTAAGCGACACAGAGCCTAAGCCACACCATAAACGAGTGTGGCGCCATCTAGGCATAGAAAACCCC